GAAATTTTTATAAAAATAAAACTTAAAATCGCGTCTGGCACATAGTTAGCAACGTGAAAAATGTCTGGCAATAAAAAAAGTATGTCAGGTAGACGTATTTAAAAAGGAAAAATCAAAAATTACGCTTCTTAAAATGCAATGCTTCATCATACTGCAATACTTTATCATTTTAATTCAAGACTTAACAACCGAATTAATGTCTGGCAAATTAATTTTCAGTTTTTCTTATATTTAAATAACATAATATTAAAATTACAGACATTCTAAAATGCTTTGAAATTTTTATAAAAATAAAACTTAAAATCGCGTCTGGCACATAGTTAGCAACGTGAAAAATGTCTGGCAATAAAAAAGTATGTCAGGTAGACGTATTTAAAAAGGAAAAATCAAAAATTACGCTTCTTAAAATGCAATGCTTCATCATACTGCAATACTTTATCATTTTAATTCAAGACTTAACAACCGAATTAATGTCTGGCAAATTCATTTTCAGTTTTAATTATATTTAAATAACATAATATTAAAATTACAGACATTCTAAAATGCTTTGAAATTTTTATAAAAATAAAACTTAAAATCGCGTCTGGCACATAGTTAGCAACGTGAAAAATGTCTGGCAATAAAAAAGTATGTCAGGTAGACGTATTTAAAAAGGAAAAATCAAAAATTACGCTTCTTAAAATGCAATGCTTCATCATACTGCAATACTTTATCATTTTAATTCAAGACTTAACAACCGAATTAATGTCTGGCAAATTCATTTTCAGTTTTTCTTATATTTAAATAACATAATATTAAAATTACAGACATTCTAAAATGCTTTGAAATTTTTATAAAAATAAAACTTAAAATCGCGTCTGGCACATAGTTAGCAACGTGAAAAATGTCTGGCAATAAAAAAGTATGTCAGGAAGACGTATTTAAAAACGAAAATTAAAAATTACGCTTCTTAAAATGCTTTTAAAATCCAGGATTATTACCTGGACAGATAGGATGCGCACTAATGAACGCAACCGCTACCGCCAGCCAGATTGCCCAGACTCTAACCGGAAGTGCAAGAAGGAAGACATATCACAAAATCAGCTGACCTGAAATTCTTTCTCGAAAACGTTGCTACCTCCCGTACTCATATATTTTTTTAAAGAAAAGACAAAAAACGGGCGGCCTCACATGTCAGTCATATGACATATCGTTGTCCATGGGAACTTAGCTTAAACTAACTAAACTTAACAACGAGTACACACTCCCAAAAAACAGAATTTTAAACCTGTTCGTTGTAACCCTCTAGCTGAACTATAAAAATAAAAAAAGCAATAAACGAAAACAGGATTGTGAAAGTTTCATTCCATTTGAACATTTTGAATTCATTAAGTTGGCCTTTTTAATTTGGTTGGCCTGTATTCCCCTGTTGTCTACCACTGGATTACAGCTCAATTGCCTTTTTTATGTATTATTTATTTATGGTTGCGTAGAAATACTGACATTATTGGTTTTAAAATGATGGTTTTTGTCAACGGGTCATTCAGAAAACAAAGTTAAACAATTTGTAGAATCTATAAATTGTAGAATTCTGCTAATTCAAAGGAATCCAGGCCATTATACACCTAATCTAGGTTAATTCCACATTCGCACTTTATTTTTTGGGTTTCGAATATATTCTGATATGACCATTATAGAAATAATGCGCCTGAAAAATAAAATCGAGCAACATATTTTTATTCGCAAACTTTGGTATTAAATTTACATAATTAAACAGTTGCAAGCTGAACGTTTATTAACAATGTTTTTGTCTTATATATTTAAAAAATAATTTAGCTATCTATTTTTAACTAATAAACGCCAAATTAATCATCGATATTGCGTACTTTGACGCAGTTTCAAACATATTCAATTAGACCTTAAACTGGTAATATAATTGTATTCAAATAACTTAAGTTCATACTAATGGATCATAAATCGATTCTGTGGCTTTTCATTAACACATACGACGACGTTGCGACGACTCATTGGTCTAGTGGTTAGTGACTGCGAATCCAAGGGTCCCGGGTTCGATCCCCGGCTGAGACGAACATCGATGTGATGAGCATTTGGTGTTGTGCTTAGGTCTTGGGTGTTTAAATATGTATTTATATGTCTATCTATCTATAATATGTATGTATATCCGTTGCCTAGTACCCATAACACAAGCTTCACCAGCTTAGCATGGGACTCGGTCAATTGGTGTGAATTGTCTTTAAAAAAAAAAATATAAAAAAAATTAAATTCGAGGCAAATACGTCCAACCAACAATTCTAATTTTCCCTTCATCCGATACAATTATTGCTTGGCTGGAATTCGCCCTCCAGGTAATGTAGTCTAACTATACTATTTAAACTTACTTATATACAATTTTGAATCTTAATTTTTTGTTAGTAATAAATGTTATGTCTATGTCTAATTTAAAAAGAAGGAAATAATAGAATAATAATAGTTCGTTGCTTTTTAATTTATTTAAAACTATCTACATACTACATCACAGTTTTCTACTAAATATGTTTACATTATTATGGTTATTTATTTACGATATAACTTATTGTTTGGTCTGTAAGGCTAGGTAGGTTTCTATCTGCAAGCCCCATTTTGTTGTCTACATTGGACATTCATAAGAGAATATTGTCTCGCCGTCAGCGATCCCTGCGTTCTGTATCGCCCGTGACAATTAAAGTAAAGTCGATGAAACGAATTCGATTGACGGTAGTAGGTCGCCAATGGCTATGTTTGGCTAGACCCCAGGTTAGGGGTGATTTCTGGGTGAATTGATAAAATATCTAATTTTAACCAGTGTCTATATTTCCGTTTATTCTAAAACCAATTTCAATATGTGTTGAAACACATATTGAAATTGTATAAATACAGTCCACAAAAATCGATACGCAAATTTAGGTTGTATTAGCAAATAAATAAATAACGTGAATGAATGTTGATTGAAGTCTAATTAATATTTAATTTATTTCCGACATTAAACAATCATTATAAATACTATGCAAGCCACAGCTATTAATAAGTCTTAATAAAGCCATATTAACATTTTACTTTATGTTTCCACGGGGGGAGTCCACGTACTCAGAGTTGTCCATCAAATATTTCTAAAAATAAGATAATTATTAAGTCAAACGAATGATACCAATCAGTGAACTAAAGTTAGGAAGAGCATTTTTTCGTTCCAATTAGATCTATTGTGATCTACAAATCGCCACATTTGCCCTCTGCCCCATTTGGGACATAGGACCTTAAGACAAGTAAGTCATAATGGACGACTTTGAATATCAGGTGTGTATCCCCTTCTTTATATAACACCACGTTTAAACTAGTATTAACACGTCCCTTCTCTCAAATAGAAGCTTGTGCTTCTGTAAAATACAGTAGAACCTCGATAACTTAAACCTCGGTAACATAAAAACCTCTGTTACTTCAAAAAATACTATGTTCCCTTCCCATCAGAGCCCAAAACCTCTATAACTTAAAATACGCAACCTCTATAACTTAAATAAATAATCTCTGTATAGGCCCTCAGTAACTAAAAGAAATGTTTCCACAACCTCTATAACATAAAATTGTTTGTGAATGAGTCATTTTGAAAGAGTGTCAAAATAAATGGTTTCGGTATTTATTGCTTGCACGTGTTTACTAATGTATTGTTAACGTAAACAATACATTACCTATTGTTTGCTTTATCTAAATTCTTCAAAGCTTTGCGGCGGTTAGCTTTGTGACAACGACTTACTTGCATCATAAGTTTTTGATCGTTGTCCTGGAAGTAATGTGAATAAATATGATTACATATTTTATTTTCAGTATTTTATTGAACCCATCCTTCTGATGCATTCGAGTAAAAATGGGAGCAAGGGTACATAGAAACATATACATACATCTATATTAACCTTTACCTAACATAGAACCTTGATAACTTAAAACCTCTATAACTTAAAATATTTTGTGTTTCCCTTGGACTTTAGCTTATCGAGGTTCTACTGTAGTTTGTGATAAAACAGGAAATATGATGACTTAAACCACCTGCTGACAACGTATCTGCTTTTGCTTAAGCGGAAGAGATTTTATTTATTAGTGACTACATACGATGTTCTTTAACTAACTAAATATACCGTGTTAACCATGGTTAATATAAAAAATCAACTATATTAATTTAACCTAATTAAATTGTTTCATTTTTAAAGACGCTGGTCACTGGGATATGGTATTGTGGGTGACCAGACTCATCCGAGGTACAAGAATATATATGTCGCAGCCGTTCAATTAACAGCCTAGGCTTTTAACTAAACATCGCTGTTTAACTAGTGGCCTGAAAGATATTCAGCCGTAGCGTTTGTAACAACATTTAATAAACTGACTAGCAAATGCTTAGGCCATTTGTACGATAGAGTGATCATGTGGCAGAAATAAAAGATATGTCAGACATCTGACATAAAAAGAAAATTATATTGCTTGAGTCAGCCACAGCTAAATTCACATAAATATTGTCACTACACTCTTCCATTGTACTTGTTGTTTTTCATTAAATTTTGGAACACCATGAATGGTTTGCCGACGCAATATTGACAGTATAAAGAGTTTCGTTTCGACTTTAAGAGTGGCAGAAATTGGAACTGAATTTAAATTAATACTCAACAGGCTAGGCAATGAAACGTCATCGATCCAAGTCAGCCTAGCTGTTTGATCAACTGGCTGAATGTCTTTCAGGCCGCTAGTTAAACGGCGCTGTTTAGTAAAAGGCTAGGTTGTTAATTGAACGGCTTATTAAGCTAGTTGGCTGCAACATGTATACCATGTTGAAGCAGTATCTAAACAATGTGTTAATTAGACGGCGTTAGATCAGTGCTAATGTGATATTTACCTTTACATGATTTCTTTAATAAGACAGCATAGTTGAAAGCAATGGTTGTCCAGCAACCAGTAAAAGTAATGATGTTATATTGCACAAATTATTACTTATCTATCCGTTTTTACGCCATAAAATCATCATCCGCGTTGATATTCCTACTAACTGTTGTATATATCTCGTTTTCTTCTTTAAGACCTTTCTTTCCCATGTAATATGGGAACTCATTATCGGTTGGTAAATAATAAATACCAGGCTTATCAAAGTCTGTTTCGAGACCTGCATAATTTAACTCTGTGTTATTGTAGCATTTCGCTGATCTTGCATCTTGAATGGAGTCACACTTCATGGCTATAAATTTCTTTGGGTTGTCCAACGCTATCCACCAATAAAGCAAAGATCGTATGTGACTACATATAACCAGACATGGTATATATGGAACGTCTCCCGGTTGATACTCTCCTCCGTTTGCGTAGAAGTCCACATGCCCTAGACGTTCTGCTATACCAAATCCATCTATGTTGGTATGAATTACGTCCACGTGTTCCGCATCAGTTGGGGTGACCTTTTCCTCAGCTGGTAAACCCCTGAAGCACGGCCCAGCAGGATCCAAGCCAGTGAGTCTGAAAGGCTTCTTCCCGGTCACAGATTGATAGTACTTAGCAGCGTGACTTACAATGTGGGCGCCGAGGCTGGTGCCGACCAGTTCCAAGTTCTCAGGACGAAGGCCTGCCTGGGTTAGTTTGACAAATAACTTGCCAAATTGTTGTCCGATTACGCGGCTAAGACGGACGGACCTGAAAGATTTTGAACTTTCAGTGAACATTTTAAATTTAGTTTACTAGGTACAAAAAGTCATACTAAATAATATTAAAACAAAGGGGAAAATGACTGAAGTGTATGAAGCAAGTTTGAAAATAGAAAATCTGTTAAATCAATACATATGTGAGATGTGGTCATAGAGTCAAATTCATTTAATTTATCGCTGTACTATGTGCATCACCGCACACTGGGAACTTAGATTGCTCAAACTATCGAGAATAACCACATTTATATTTTTACAAGCAAGCATTTCAATGATATTTGTTATTAACAATAAATAATTGTTACATACTTTCCCTTCCTGCCCTGCGATTCTGTAACTCACTTTTCGAACTCACACAGGCGGTCGCTCTCAAATCAGTCGTGAAGCAGTCATTTTATGATTTGGCATTCTAAAAAGGTGGGAGCTTGTAGTTTATTGTTTATCAGAATGCCAAATCATAAAATGACTGCTTCAGGACTGATTTGAGAGCGACCGCCGATGCGAAAAAAGCTGGCGCTGTGTGAGTTCGAAAAGTGAGTTACAGAATCGCAAGGTAGTATAAAAATAATTTATATTTCACACCTAACTATTTTGTAATAACGTACAATACGAATAGTTTCCAAAATTAAAGTTCAGAAATTATAATAAAAATCAGTTGTGGTTAATTATTTGCCGTAATTAAGAAGAGACCTTTGTATTTTAGAAAAAAATACAGTTGCGCTGCAACCTCCTAGCTCTTGGCTATACATTTCTGTATCTGATTTCATGATTTTTAATATAATAGGCAAGTAGGGGCTTAGTCCTGTGCCTGACACACCGAATATTGGGTCAACAGAATGTTTCCTTCACCATATGAGCGAGTGTTAAATGCGTAGTCAGAAAGTCCATTGCACAGCTGGGGTTCAAACCTACAACCCCAGAGGTGAACTGCAAATTGAAGCCACTATGCCAACTACTAGGTATTTTAATTATTCATACAGTTAAAATACCTAGTGTACGGCGTGACCAAAAACACCTGTTTAACTACTTTGCTAAATGGTCATAAAATCCGATGTTGACAGCATTGGCCGTAATGTTCTATGACATATTTTGTTACTATAGTTGATTAAAATACATAATTTTAACGTGACTAGAATATAAATTCTCAAAAAATCATGTTGAACAAAGCGAAGAAGATCCAAGGTCAAAATGGCAGTCCTTTTGAAAAATTTTTTTTTTAGCTTTTAACTTTTGTTGGTTTAGCTTAACTTTCATACAATGATACACTCTACATAACATTACACCCACCTTGTAATAAACCCAATAACGACAGTTAACATTAATTTTTAAGTTGCCGAAATTAGTTAAAACTGCGGAACGTTCTTTTGTCGCTTTATCGTCCTAGCCCGTAATAAACTCGACTGTCGGCATCTTACGTCCCGAACTTTTTAAGAAATCTTTTGTTTACAAACTGGGATTGCTTGCACGTGCTTTATCACGAAGATGCCTCAGTATCGCGAGATATGAATAAACAAGTATAAAAATACAACATAATTACTGGTGCAGTAAAAGACGTCTGGAGAAAATAATACAGAATATACGCAATAACGTTCAAATAAGAATTGTTTTTTATGTAATTACTAACACTATAAATCATCTTAAATAAACTTTTTGTTTTTCTAATACACATTTTTCTTTTTTCTATTTAACGACAAGTCTTTGTAACGTTAAAATATCCCGCACAGTCCCTAGAGTCACGAACGAAGAAGTTCTACGGCGCGACAAACGATCCCGAGAACTCACGTTGAACATCAAAAAGAAGAAGATAAGTTACGTGGGACATGTGTTTCGACACGAACGGTACCGACTTCTTGAAGTAATCATGATGGGCAAGGTCGAGGGGAAAAGACGCGCTGGCAGAAGGAGGAATTCGTGGCTCCGCAATATTAGAGAATGGACGGGAGTGGCCAGCGTAGAATAGCTGATGCGCTTGGCGAAACATAAGGAGTATGACGCTGCTGACCTCCAACCTCCAGTAGTGGAGAGGCACTTCAATAAGAAGAACAATCCCTTGAGTGTCGTTATATAGAGTTTACACTGTACAATAAAAAAAATCATATGTATATTTTGGTTTGTCTATACTTTATGAATCTCGCTATTTATCAGAACCTACATACATTATGCAATGCCCATAACTGGTATACAACAGTGATCTGTTTATTGGTGATAAACCAGCAGTAACAATAAGCCTGTAACAATGGAACCAGTTCAATGGAATTTCCACCATTTCCGTTTTGTTTTTCCTTTCATTCCAATATTATTCAACCGGTAAAAACTATTATTTTCTTACTAGTTACTTGAAATATTCTAATAAAATGTATAGGGCACGCGTTCTAGCGAAAATATTGTTTTGGCGTATCGAAACAGTGTGTTGAAAAATTCGTAGGCAAATATTTTTTTATAGAATTTGATTTAATTATTAAGTCGAGAGCGAAACAATGATTATAGCAGTCATACAATTTTTATAGTACGATTTGCCTCAAAATAGGCTTCAGTTTCGGCGATTACCTCTTCATCAGCGCAGAAATTATGTCCAGCGAGCATTATATTTATAAATACACAATGTAACAAGTATTTAATATTTCACGTTTAATTAACTTTCGATGTGTTTTTGGTAATTTTATTCCTATTTTTAAATAAAATATTATTTCATTTACAATTGAGTGCTATCAAACCCTACTACAACAAAACAATGGAGCTTTAAATGTTTACAAAAAAGTTCCTGTTTGTTAACACGAGGGATCTCTTTCAGGCAACCAATGTCAGAAAAAAAAATTGATTTATTTGCAAAGAAAGCATTCAGATTGATTAATTATAAAAATAACACAATCAGACCTATTAAAATAGACATACGCATACAAATATCATAATGTCATAATAATAAGAACAGTTATGATCTGAAAACTCTCTCACTTTATAAAGGCTCTTAAAAATCTAATCACTTTGAAAGCATAACACTTATTAAATTAAACTGGGCAAATTTTTGTTTACAATGTTAGGAATATAGCACCATTAAAGTTTATATACCTCATATGGACATAAACAATTTACGTTCACCATAATTAGTACCAACAATGCATACTGCTAATATTTATTTCATTACCCTAGTGCATTATACGATTGTTTATTTACTATGCCCCAGCTCCCTAGGTATTCTAAGTAAAATATACAAAACGTCACTTGTATAAACTTTAAGCATTCTGTTTGTATTATTATAAATGACCAGTTGTTTTCGAGATTATAACACAAAAAAATTCGTAACAACACTTATATTTACGTTTTAACAACTTATTTATTTTAATTATATTAGTATATCACCTTCATTATTATAATTGTTATTAATTTTATTGTCTGTGTAAATGAATTTTTACGGAAGTAACAAATGGCAGAGCGAATGAATGTTAGCCAGGAAATAATACCGAACACAGTGTCAATTAATTCCCATGTAATTCTGACAGATTACGAGTAAGTTCACGCAATTCTGCGCGTTGTCTCTGGCCGGCTAATTCGATGGGAACGATACAAGTGAAGATGAGATGGTTGAAAATGTAGGAATTGTTTAAAAACACTTTTTGTATGGTATTCAAGATCTATAATAATTTACAAAATACATTCAATGATTTCCTACTAGAGCTTTTAAAAATCGACTTAATACTTGTATAATAAGTACGTAAGTATATGTAGTAGATGGAAAAAAATATTATTCTATTAACGATTATTTGAGTGAAGCATTACAATTAATATTAAACTGATAATGTATTAATATATATTAATAATGTTATGATGTAATGGTAAACGACGTTCTGAAAAAGACCCCTATAATTCGCTGTATTACCAAATATTTTATTATTATTATAGTCAACAAATTACAATTTCTAGTGTTTGTTGAGTGAACTGACAAAAGTTCTATTAGTTAGTGCCTATAGTAGTTAGTTCATTTTTTTTATTATGTACCTACTTATTTCGTTTGTTTTTCCTAACTAATTTGTTATGATTGTTTTTTGTTTCGTGTGTGATTTGTTTATTAGTAATGCATTCTTCTCGATTTAAGGTCACTTGTTAGGACAGGACTGTGTTTTTTTGTTAATATATTAATAAAAAAAAATACTATAATTGATTGATGTAATATATGATCTAAAATGTACTTTGAAACTAAACGAATTTACACGCCATTATGTGTGGCAGAATATGCGAAACTTAATTTGTACCATATTCTTGCAAATAAATTTTTATTAATACAAATCATTAAAAGAATAGCATTTGTCTCAGTATATCTCGTTTTGTGAGCAAAAATGGTATGCTTTTTAGTAAGAAAAATAATATCGTTTCAACTGGCGAATTTTTCCGGGAACTGTTGTGGAAATCCTTTACTTTTAACTTACTTGGGATAAATATAAGTGAGGAAGTGAAATGTTTCCGACATTAGTACATTGTAGCCTCTCTTAGAATAACCATTAGCCATGGCCAGGCTGTGGGGAAATACTGAGCTGTCCCAAAAGCCCACAGCATAAAAAACCGTCTTCTTGCTGAGATCTGAAAGACAAACTTGAATTATATTTTTTCTAGACTATTCTTAAGTTGATAAACATGTTTTTATATTTTACAAGCAATTAAATTTGTTTACGATAAAAACATTTGAATATTGTTAATTTTGTCATGTTACGCATAAAAAAATTGTTTTTAACTTCCGCCTTACCACTTATCAAATGAAATAGTCATAATGATATTTCTGAATAATAATAAATCAACACAACCTTTTTTAAAAGCGGGTATAAAATAGTACCTTTGTGAATAGATGGCTAACGCACTTGGTATTTAAAAAAGAGGTACTTTAGGCATAAAAGTTTAATTGTTATTCAAAATCTTACACTGACTGAAAGCTTTTTAATCATATCTTATACTATTAATTGTATTACAATAGTCATTAAATGTTTTGTATTGTTAGATGTATGTATGAACTACGGAAGAGTAGCTGGTCATCCAAAACACAGCGATGTCCCGAGGGGACAGCGTCTGTATGATGAACTTGTGTAGTATGTGTCATTTTGTGTCATATAATACAAATTTTTTTTGAGCAACTATTAACCGTAAGTTCGTGCGTTCGAATAACAGCTGTGCGCAATGAATTTTTTCCTTTTATGTGCGCAAAACACTTGCTCCTACGATGACAAAAAACATCGTGAGGCAAGTTTAAATGCCAAAAATCATACATTAAAAATCACTAGTCTATGAAAGCATGAAATATTCAAAGAATACAATTTAAGGCCAAGACATAGGTTGTAGCGGCGGAATAATTTTTTAATGACTTCATATCTTACCAAATTTCTTATCGCTTAATATAGCTTTATATGCCGATTTGATTGGTATGCTACGTCTGTAAACGCCTGTATCAGTCAAACGTTGTATAATCACTTGCAAAAGTGGCATTGATGAATCTGCTATTGTTGCATTCTTTGCTGCGCCGGGACCTGGAGATAAAAATATAATACGCTATTATAATTTAAAAAAAAATTAAAAAATTATTTAATCACATAAGTAACATAATGTACACTTATGACTTGTCAGTAAAGAAATACATATTAATGCTTCTAACTTCGGAGAGTTTACTGCCAGTTGTCAAATCAAGGAAGAGAGAAGAACTGGCAATAAACTCTCCGCCACTCTTTTTAATCGCCATTTTTAGGTTTTACAAAATGTTTGTAAGGAGCCGCAACCATTACACCATGTCCCATATGACATTTTAAGTAATTAATAATAATAACATAAATTAAAAACAAAGATTTGTCCTCTATTGTTTGATGTGATCGAAGGGAGCAGTGATAGCAGGTGAAGTTGAGGTCTACACGTTGCAACCTGTTCAGAGACACTGGCCCCTTACCATCTACATGGAACCAACAACAGAGCTGGTGCGGCTGAAAAAGCTAAAGCATGCAAATACAGGGGTCTAGGCTCCGAATATGATTTTGTCCCATTCGGTGTCGAGACCCTTGGTCCGTTGGGTTGGTCCTATAAGGCTTTTTAAGGAGATGACAAAAAGGTAAGTCGATATCACAGGAGACCGAAGAATTAGCCTAGCTATTCAAAAGGGGAACGCTGCCAGTATCTTCGGAACCTTGTAGGCAAGTTCCAAGGGACTCCTTTAAATAATATATTTTAGTTATTATATTTTAAGGTTAGTTATTGCTTTTTGTTATATTAATTTATGTTAGCAGTATTATGTTATCTTTATTTTATTTAGAATAATATAGTTTTATGTTAATAAAACTTTAATGGTTAATGGAACAGTTAAATGGTCAAATACAGTCTACACAATGGTTATTAAGACATTTATGGGTCTCAACATATCTAATGCACTGAGATAAGCTGAGGATAGAGTGGTGTGGAAGCAGCAAGTGGACGTATCGGTTAGGGCGTTTCAAGACAGACACGACCAAGGTTCATTTGAAGAAGAGCAGGTTCATTTGAAATGAAGTAGCAATAGGCTTGCAAGTTTTCGGCAGTGGAGCGGCTTTTCTCATGACGGCCCCTAACTCGTAACTGTATAAGTCAGAAGTTAGTCTTAATGGCTTTATAACATTTGATTTTTAACTTTAAATTCTACTCTTTGATGAATACATATTTTTTTTATGTAATTCGAGGCAAACGGGCAGGAGGATATTAAGTCTACATATTAAGTGATATCGCACTCACATTGCCAAAAGGCTCGCAAGTGCGTTAGCGGCCCTTAAAAAAATTGATTATTTTAATTATTCAAGAAAAGTGCGTGCCAGACTAAAAGGCTGACAAGGCACTTACGAGCCTTCTGGGTGAATGTCCATGAGCGGTGTCACTTAACATAAGGTGAGCCTTCTACTCGATTGCCCCCTGTTATAAAAAAATAGGTATGATTTAGGATGTCTATAAATATATGAAACTGTTTTTTATTATTTCCAATGCAAAATTTACTACTGTAGGCTAGACTTTTGATGTCGACTTTTTTTACTTGTCATCATCAAAACAGGGAATTCTTCTTCTTGAAATCTTTATATCCAGCAAAAAATTATCTTATCTAAAGATATAATTAGCTAATGTAAACAAAAAATTTAAAGGTCAATTACCTTTTTGTATAAAATAATCTCAAAGCTAAAATAAAGTTAAATGTCATTGGAAGATATTTGTTTTAGTTTTCTTTTCGATGCTTTTTATACTTTAACCTTGTTTGAAACAAAATTATAGACAACAATATTGATAGAGTAATTGCTTTAATCAATGTATAAAAGACAAACAATAATTATCCCGGAACATTATGAACACAATAAGATTGTATGACAATTATATATTGTATGAACCGGTTTTAAATACAAAAATATATCTAACCATTAACAATTAATTAAACATTACGGAGAAATAATATTGTTGTAATGAGTTGTCATATTCTGTTTTAACAAACAATACACAATCTGTGGCGGCATAATAAAATCAAGTTAATACTTGCCTTGTTTGTTACCATGGTAACCATGGTAATAAACTCTAATATATAACAAATAATAAAGTCTAATGATATTGTAATATATTAATAGTAAATTATTTAATTTTACTTCTCATAAACATTGAGACATTTATAAAACTATAAATACTTACGAAGACGACCTATGTTTTATTTATTTGTTCAGAGATGAACAAAATAAATTACCATACAAATAATATGGAGTCTGTAATTAATATTAAGTCTATGCATTTAATGAATAATTAATCGTATGTGCCGAGTTTTATAAAATTTGTATCTTATGTGTATTCTATTTTCCGTGAAATAGATCTATTAATATATTTTGTCGATATCAATAGCAATACATATAACATCTAAAGCAAAATCTACACAATTTGTTGTAATAGAAATGTCCTATTTATATTTCAGCGAGTATCAAGAATAAAGTGCCGATTTTAAAATATGTAGTTAAAAATACAATCTTAAAATTATTTTCTTGTATTTTTTCAGATACTTTTACACTTATTTCCTGGGGACAAATTCCTTGACGATAATTTTGTTCGCTAAGAGCCAATGTCGGTTAGATATTCAATTTTATAAAGGAAATGTTTTATTTTTCTAGTCTTACTATTTGTAATATTCTTCCATCGTAACTAGTTACAAAACTCAGCATCAATGACGGGATAGTACGCAATTGACCAAAACTTTAGATACCATTTAGTAAATAATATTTATTACACTTCTAGCTCAACGGCATTTTTATTCTGTGTAAATCTGGAATCTGCAAAGGTCGATAAAAAGCTTAAGACTCATAGTAGCAAAAACAATTAAGTAACACAATGCCCGAATATAATTAGTTATAAATGATCATATTATCAGCAATTACTCAGTGTGTCTGTTTCATATCTTCATAATAGTTCATTAAATCCAAGATCTTCCTCACTGTCTCGGGTTACACTTGTATTTGACGTTGATAGAGTATTGTAAGAACTATATTAATATATGGACATCATTATAATATTTTGAGCATAGTTGTGAAACCAAATTTAATTATCTGTGTTAAAATTTGACGTAGAATACTAAATTTAATATTTTTCTTTCTTTTTTTGACACTTGGAGAGAAAGTACCTATACCGGAGTAGAGTAGTAGTAGCAATATAAAAAAAAGGGTCCGTGTACTTATGTACGCGCGTAAGAAGTTATACTTCTTTGGCAATATTAAAAATAGTTTGGCTTTGTTCCACCTCCAGTTTTTGATGTTTCACAGCGATAAGATGAAAACTCTTTTTTTGTATTCAATTTAGTGCAGTTACACTGATTCATCAATTGTTTTTTGTCTCTTTTCCTTATATTTGCTAGATAAAATCAGAAAAATTACATGTTTTGATTAAACAATGTGGTTAATTTTTTAATCAAAACATTACTCGATAATAATAATAATACATACGGATAGTTAACCTCAATTGTATTGAAGCACTTAGGAAGGTTGATGAGCACAGTTTTTTCTCAAATATTAATTAGTATTGGTTTAAATATTCAATTTAAATCAGTTCTGATTATAATTCAAAAAGCATCGCTAAATTTCTTTGAAAAAATAATTAAAACTCCTTTATTTGTTAATGACAAATGTCATTATGGTCATTCAAAATTGTTGGCATACGAACTTCACGCATATTCTATTTCTTTTTACTTGTAGATTGTCTTATTCCTATCTCGCTCGCGCACGCTATAATCACACTCCTAATTTTGTGTCACGGGTGCGCGCGCATTGTAAAATTTCACTCTCATAAATTTTTCATAACGCGCCTAAAGAAGTATAACTTCAAAAATGTAAGAGCGTAACAATTTTCGGATAATATTCCGTATCGCGCCACCAGCGATTTTGAGGCAGATTTTTTTTATGACTTCGTCGTGAGTTCTCAGCACCATAACAAGTGTTGTTATGATGGCGCATGACCTTTTTTGCCAAAAAAAAAAACTCATGAAAAGTACCCAAAACCGAATCAAAGCACCCCACAATCCACGTGGTCTTGTCTGCCTTACCCCTAAAGTGTATATAAAAAATCGGAGGCGCGGAGGAAGAGCAGCCCCCACCCGCTGTAACAAAACACAGGTATTATGCAATAAGCATTATGCAATATGCTTGAATAAAATGCCTGTGCTTTGGTACGCAAGGGTGGAGGGGCTGCATTTCCTGCAGCGCCGGAGCTGTCCAAAAAACAGTTTTTTTTTTGGTAGTAGGTATACGACTCTATGATGCTTTGTTTCTGTTTGTATTTGGTTTCGTTGTCCCGACAAGTATAGGTGGCCACAGCACTTATGCTTATGTGAATACAGGAGAATCAATTCCAAATACTTTGAAAATTGGATTTTTTGTTAGCAAAAAAAAGTCTGTAAAAAAATCGACCTCAAAATCGCTGGTGGCGCGATACGGAATATTTACCTAATTTTCTAAAGAAAATTTTAGTTTTTTGTTTCCGTGTATACCATGATTTGGTTTACTAGGTCTTTGGCTTTGATATCATAAAAAAATCATTTTCAGTAAATTCCTGGTTAATATTCTGATTATATTCAAAGAAAGGATATACTTTTGTTTCTAAAAAATATTTTGAGTGAATCAATTCACCGTTCATATTTATCAGTTTCAAAAATAATTCGCAATAACTCAAGAAAGATGACGGTGCACAAAATTTATCGTGCTTATTATAAAGCGTGGTTAGTACCGCGGTTTCAACATTAACCATGTGAAAATAATGGAACCCATGATAAAAAGCTTAGTACCAAAATTAAGGCCAAAAGTTTTCATGAAGCACAATGGGTAAATTAAATTTAATTCTATGGAAAAAAGGGCAATCAAAACAGTTTACTTTAAAAGGTACTCACAGTGGGGCAGGAGTCCTGAGGGAACACCAATGTCGGGTTTAGGCTCGAAGCAGTTGACCGAAGCCAATGAGAGAGTCAGGATTAGCCACAGCATGTTAAACCTTAAAAAAATATATTAAAGTAATATTTCAAATGACACAAACTCTTGTACATATTTTGTCTACTTTTAAACGACAAGTCGTTCAATCAATTAATCGTGTATTTTATTATTAGCTTTTTCGAGATAATTTTTGTGATGTTAATAAAATAAATACACTATTATTATGCACGGTATGTAGGATTGAAGATGATACGAACAATTACCATTAAAATTCTGACTTCTGAATAAAGTGGTAGTAAAAATTAATTCAAATAAACCCTAGTCTTCCGTAACTTCGCGAAAGTTATTAAATAATAAATATTTGTCTATTAATAAAAAAAATAAAAACATCTTGGCGTGGTCATAAAATTGCGAGTGATGTTAAATTAATTAATTATTTATTTATTATTTAATTACCTAAATTGAAATTGATGATATAAAATTTGCATAAAATTTAATTTGTAAGTACAATAACCAAATAATTTATTCAACATCAACCTGGACATAATATGGTTAACATACGCACGTGTTACTATTGTGAATATCACTCAAAAACTAAATCTAATATATAAAATTCTCGTGTCGCGGTGTTTGTAGTTCAACTCCTCCGAAACGCCTTGACCGATTCTCATGAAATTTTGTGTGTATATTGGGTATGTCTGAGAATCGGACAATATCTATTTTTCATCCCCCTAAATGTTAAGGGTAGTTCCACCCCTAATTTTTTTTTTAATTTTGAGATAAATTTTTATTTTTTTATGGTACAGCATTTAAAAATATTATACAACCCCTATTTTTCCCCCTCTACGATCAACTCCTATTTTTTATTATAAATGATATACATGGCAAAACGACGTTTGCCGGATCAGCTAGTTATCTTATAAAAATCGATTCGTACTTTAGTACGTAGTAATAACGAATACTGTCAAATTACATACAGTAATTGAATGCTTTGATTTTCTTCCTTAAAGGCTTTCACGTAATTACGTTATTACACATGGACAATATAATCTGAAATCGATATCCATATTTCCAACAAAAATATACAGTATTTAAAATATTCTTAACCGACATAGCAATAATAATAATTAAAAATTTATAAATTTATAAACAGAAAATTAGATTTTAATTAAAACGTTCGTATATTATTTATATTAATACTTCTGTGAGTAACTCCGTAATGTTAATTAATTAAATATTATAATTGTGTTAAGAGAAGCGGCTTGTGACTAGCATGTGACTCTCATCCCTGAGGGCGTACTCGCTCGTACGGTGAACAATATATCATGAGGTAGCCGGCAAGTCTTAGAAGTCAAGACCCGAAGAGGCGAGGGCATGTGTCAGGCACAGAAGGCTAATCACCTTCTTTGAATCGTGTAGTTGGTTTTTATAAATAAAGAATATGAGTCCCGCAAACGCATTTCGCCTCTGTTCATCAATCATCATGGAGTAGCCTATGCCTTCAGACTCAAATAATTTAACTCTAAAAAATCTGGTGGGCCATTTAAGCCTAAAACAAGGGTTTTACACTTCATGCGTTACTTCCATAGGTCCTCAACGGCTGTCAAACTGTATATTCGTTGGAAAATTTTAATAGTACTCAAAAAATTGACATGAGATTTGAAATGGAATACGAAAGTTTATACAATTTTGGTGATAATAATATCAGTTATTATATAAGCGGAGGCGATGAAATAATATGATTTATAAAAACAATTGAATGCTTCTCACACTTCACGGTTTTATCTTTGAAAAGGGTTTCACAGTTTCTTGCTCAACTGTCAGCGCTTCAATAACCATTCTTTAGGCGCTATAATTATGAATTAGTAATACATATTTTTATATGAATATGTAGATAACTTGATAAACTAACCTAAGTGTTTTTACACTGGAAATAAAGCGTTGTTCATTATACGTCATTACTTTGACCTTTGGTGAAACGAAATTGATTAATTTAATATAATAATAATGTTATATTAAATTTAAATACATAAAATTTTGTTGAAGATTTTGTGGTTTTTTAACTTTGTGCGTATGGAATGTGATTTGTATTTTTTGTGGATTAAGTCATGATGATAATTTTTTTAAAGTAATTTTATTTTATTGTAGAAGTTGGAACACAACACTAAGTATTCTTTACGAACAGAGATAAACTTATCGTAGCCTAAATAATTTCAGATAGTGAGTAAATTGAAGATTAAGTTGGTGAACCTAAAGTTAATTAAACATAAAAAAACGTGTGTGTACTTATGTACACTCGTTAGAAGTTATACTTTCTCGTCGTTTGTAGAAAAAACGACACTACCAATAGGAAAAAACTAAAATGTTGACTATACCTAACTTCGGGGTGTCGGTTTTTTTGTGACGGGACGGACATTTTTCCCTAACGTGCCAATAGAAGTATAACTTCAAAAAATCATATATAAATAAAGTTAAAGCAAACACAGTTATGTGTCTATTATATTGTTCACGGTTTATCATAGTGCGTTCATCATTACGATGTGTGAAACGATAGCCATCTTTAAAAAAAATATCTATTCACCACACAGGCGACAGCAGTTGGCCTTTGAAACCAAAATACAGAATTCTGCATTATATCGCTAATTTAAAACATAACAGAGGCCAGAAGGATGATTTGTATGTAAAACGAACCTTGGCTGTAATCTTCACTTCCTGACGCGATAACTCTAAATAATTTAAGTGATTCGTGCAAAGTTTATTCGAATGACCGATGACGACGATACTTCGAAATTTAATCCATCTTTTTGTATGTATAATTATTATGACTGGTCGGTCTTGAATTCGTGTAGGCTGTGATGTTTATTTCGACTATTTGCGTGTAGTTCCTACGAGAACGTAAGTTCGTGCTCCTATTTTACCATGCCTCCTGCTGATAGAGGACAATTTTTTTTTTAAATCTTTTTTTTAATGGTGCAGCTCCTTACAAACATTGTGTAAAACAAGAAAACTGGGCGAACAAAAAGAGTAACGGAGAGTTTATTGCCAGTGCTTCTTTTCCGTTCTACGCCCTTGATTTCAGAACTGGCAGTAAATGTAAAATTAGAATTAGGCTATGTTCACATGTAACGCGCGTTAACGCGCGTCATCGCGCGATCAAATTTGAAGAGAGTTCAGATGATGAGCGCTAATGCGCGTTGCGAGAGTACTCGTCAGTCTAGTTCGGTAGAACGCAGAAAATGGACGTGGAAGAGTCTATTATTTTGTGGTTATATTGTAAAGAAAAATATAGAAAAAGAAAACGTACACATTGGGTTCATCCAATTTTGAAAAAAGATACAAATTATATTATATTACTTATACAAATTTGCTATATTCCAACTCACTCAATGATTTAGAATTGAGAATGAATCTTCAATTTCACTCATTTTAAATGCGAGAACAAAATATAATTACGAAAATTAACAACATATATATACATATATAATTACGAAAATTACATGCAATCGCGATGAAAGCGCGCGCTCAACTGAACAGCATACGGACATTACATTAATATCAAAGCGCGCGTCAACGCGCGATCACCTGCGTCTAGAGACTTTTTCTCTAAGCGCTGCGTTGACGCGCGTTAACGCGCGCTCATGTGAACAGTTGTATGAAAATACCACAATGTCTAGTCGCGCGATTTGAAAACGCGCGTCAATTTTTTGCCATCTAAGGCTATGTTCACATGTAACGCGCGTCAACGCGCGATCAAATTTGGAGAGCGTTCAGATGATGAGCGCTAACGCGCGTTGCGAGAGTACTCGTCAGTCTAGCTCGGTAGAACGTAGAAAATGGACGTGGAAGAGGCTATTATTTTGTGGTTATATTATATAGAAAAAGAAAACGTACACATTGGGTACATCCAATTTTGAAAAAAAATACAAATTATATTATATTTTTTATACAAATTTGCTATATTCCAACTTGCTGAGCTTTTTTCTACTTCATCGATTAGTAAGTCGATGTCAATATCTTCAATTTCACTCATTTTAAATGCGAGAACAAAATATTATTACGAAAATTAACAAAATTACATGCGATCGCGATGATAGCGCGCGCTCATCTGAACAGCAAACGGACATTACATTAATATCAAAGCGCGCGTCAACGCGCGATCACCTGCGTCTAGAGACTTTTTCTCTGAGCGCCGCGTTGACGCGCGTTAACGCGCGCTCATGTGAACAGTTGTATGAAAATACCACAATGTCTAGTCGCGCGATTTGAAAACGCGCGTCATGTTTTTGCCATCTGAACATAGCCTTAACATAGCCTTAGCATTTAATGTTTATTTCTTTTTTGACGTTTATAAGTGTACATTGTGTTACCTATATGAATAAAAGATCTGGATTTGATTACTAAAGTAACATACAATGTATTTATATAAAAATATGTTAAGTCACGCGGTCGCTGTTTTAACTTAATCTAGAATCTAGATAACCGTGAATCACGTTTTAGTACCATTTTTACATCAAATTAAAGTAGCAAGGTGAATTAGTTTCCGAAATATTTTTCTCGCATGCAACTTTTAAAATTAAAGAGCGCATAGTCGCGAACTCTAATAATGATTTTAAATTTTAGTAGAATAATGCGCGCGTACTTGTACGCTTATTACACATTCTTTAACGAGGATATTGTGACAAATCGACGTTTCGTTTGATTTTTACTTTCTTAGTGACTGCAGTTGCTGTATAGCACTCGAAACTATTAAAAAATACACCTATATTCTTCAGAAAGACCCTGGCACACCTCTTTCTACCTGTCCACTCTCACGCTTATTGAAGTAGACCTACCAACCCCAAGCACTGACAATGGCCTTATATTAGGTTGGGGAAAAAGTCTTTTCGCATTATAGTATGTATGAACTTGTAATAAATTCTCTTTGGCTATACTATATGTATCTGGCTGGTTCTGTTATCAAGGAAAGTTGAGATTTTAAAGAAGATAATTCCAAAATCAAATTAGGATAATGTCTGTTTTTTATTTATTTTTCGTACCGTCAAGATGAGTGAATC